CCCCCCCCCCCCCCCCACACACACACCACCACCACCAACCACCACCACCACCACCACTTTTGGATCCACCAGCTTGCGAAATAACGCGTTCCAATTTTTGGCAACTGCTACATCTAAATATCTTAAACCAGACTACATTAAAATATCTTTTACATTTCTGAATCACATGTAATACCAATCAAGTACGTACACAACTAAACGCTTGCGGACACACAATGAGTTAGTGTATCTATGAGGGCACTACACACCCAAAACCATAGAGGTACATTTCACATGCTGAAGTATAAAAAAATTAAATTGAATGATTTCGAAGTTGTATTCAAATTTTCAAAACATTTAGGTGTATGGAACAAAAATTCAAGGCTGTCTCAATAGTAGCCTAAATCTACATTTATGATATTCAGTGATAAGCAAACTAAAGTCACTCAAAAAACAAAAATTAACTGCTCTATACAAACTATTATTATAATTTTGTACAATGTTATACTTGCAGGAGATAAATTAAAGAACAAAACCAGTGATGATTGAATTTTCAATGTGATTTAAAAGTTTCCACAGTTGGACGTTTTGCATTTGTGACAGTCACGTATGTTCCTTTTTGGGGTTAGACGATGAATTATTTGTCTATTCTTCATGGTTCCAGGTGAGTGAAACTTTAATAAAACATCTTTATGTGGGACCCTCAAATAATCAAACATAGTTTGTAATCTGTGAAATAAATGTTTTTGAGAGAATGCCTGTGACCTCATTTGGACATCTTTATTGGGTTTGGGTGCACTATGTGTTTTAATGAGTTTGCATGGTTCCCAATCGCTGCACATGACACTCTGAAATCGAATACGTGGAAGTTGATTTGTTCGAAAAAATGAATTAAAACACATCAACGGGTAGTTAGGAGAACTTCATTGAGCGAAACACAGCTCAATTTTTCTTTCATTTTTTTCTCAAATATTCACAGTTATTACAAGCAAGTTAAGCCTTTATGCAAAGCAGCTGAAATTCCCTAAAATGCGGAGTTTTTGCATGATTATTGAAAACAGCGACGAGGGGGCAAACATGAAACATTTTTACACCTTATTAATCTTCTCTGAGGCCAGACCTTTACCACCGTTCTTCCACTGGAACTACGATCCTACTGCCGCCGGCGTCAGCACACGTCCCAATGTGCAACTTCCCACAATCTCAAGCGTGCAAGACGAACGCTGAGAAACCCACAAATAACGTTCCGAGTCCCAGTCCGCTCAAGATCGTGAAATGAATTCTAGGAACGCTCAGCGCTGCAGGCGACGCCGGGTTGAGAGAGCGCTCCTGAGACCGCGAGCTTGTAGGAAAGGCTGTAGTGGTGTAGGGGAGCCCTGTTGGGCCGCGTGGCCCGAGGCGCGTGCCAAACGACGCGCTTACATGCTGCTCTGCCGGCTAATGCTGGGATCGCGTGAACAGCGAGTCCCTCGGCGTCTCGTACCTTAGACGCGGTAGCAGCCTCAATGGAGGCATATTTCTCGCTCTTACACCACCATATACATGCGTTGGGTAATTACACACCAAAATTAATCTTTACTTTAATCAAAAAAGAAAAAGGCTGGCGCAAGGTTGATGAATTTGTTTATTTAAAACTCATCGAATATTCACTGCGACATTTCTTTTATTCACGTTAATCGCGCTTGTAACCAGTAGAGATCTTTCTAAGTTAATTTCCTTCGTTGAAAATTTCCCAGACGAAAAGATTTGGACAAAATCATCATGAGGAAAGACAGCAGGCATGCACAGAAAACATTTACAGTGTCGTTCGTTTAGAGAGAGAGGGGGAGAGAGAGAGAGAGAGAGAGAGAGAGAGAAAGAAAGAGAGAGAGAGAGACAGCGTTGTTTTTTATTTGTTTTCCCAATTCCTTATTGCCCTTTACATGTCAGGACGAATTCTTTTCTATATATAAATCCAATAAATAAATACAGCATACCCCATGCATACGATAGTTCACAGAATTGTGGCCCTCACCGCCTCCAACTTCTGCTACCTACGATAAGGGTGCAAAGGAGGGCGTACTCAGGACTGTCGTTTTTTTTTTTTTTTTCTGAACTGTTTATCTGTCTATCCTTATATACACTCAGCACAGAGCATTTTAGCAAGACATGGGTTCATTTATGCTATTACCAACACATCATAAGCTGCACTTTCTTAGTATGTATTTTTGTTTAATTTGTGATTGAAGGACATCAAATACGCGGCTTTGAAATGTGAGGCATGTCCGAATCTATATGTTATTTATGAAATTAATGCACGCCAATAAATTACATCAGTTGTATGCGGGTGCATTCGTATTATTTTACGGGCATTGTATAAGAGACCCTTTTTACACAAACTATTGCATTAATTTATATCACATCTCAATGATAAATCATGCTTATTCTCCTGGGTGGATACTCGTGACAGATCGTACCTTTGTCTTTCTAACCTGCCAATGCCATCTTAGCCTGCCAGCGCTACCCGCGTGCGGTGTACGTACTCACGTATTCACAATATTATATTGCCTGGTGTCAGCGCTGGAGTCGCGGAGAACCAGGAGTCGCCAGTTGCTGTGGAACCAGACACGCCGTGCTCGTCTTAGTCTGATGGTCACCTGCATGCAGTAAATCATTGTGCAATAGACTTTTTATAGAAAACGTACTACCAAGAGCACACAAATATCGAACGCAATTCTTATGTATAATTGTTTGTAAATGGCATATAAATCGTTTGCGGTTATACACCAGTTTATTTGTTTACTGTGATCGAACTTGATTATTTTACGCCTTTCCTTCACTATTTTATATGTTAAGGTGCTAAGTAAATTGTATCTTTTTAATTAAGCAATTTATCTTTTCGAACCATAATACGAGATTTACCTTGCCAATTAATCATATTGTTTTATCTTCTAACACTGTGGAAGATATCTATGTCCATTTCCAATTTAATTTGTTTCCTTTATTCAACACGGGTTTATATTATGAGTATATATACATGTAGGATTGAATTGGGACGTTTTAAATGCTTGCAAATTGGGATATTTGTAACCTACTTTAAATTAATAACTGTCCTAATAATTTTATTTAGTTGTTATTTTCAGTTGTCTCTCGTGTGATGATATTTGTTAACGCTACAACCCAGAACTCTCCAAATGTTGTTTAATAAGAATTACAGAGTTTTAAAACATTTGCACGTCAAAGAAAAAGGCAGTTTGATCGGTTTTACGTGCACAAGTTTGAGTCAGTTCATGCGGAGCTGTAGGTATGTCCCACAGCAACTTTTTACTAAATTGCATTTAAACTCTAATAATCTCAAACAAAAATCAAAAATTGCAAGAAATGATAAAGATCCCTCTCATTTTTATTTTCATACATTTATCGTAGGTCAGCGGTGAACGGGGTAGAAATTGTTTTGATAAAAAACACATGCAAGCCGACAGCCATTGTGACGCTTTCATTGTGCGAGGAACCGCCGCCATAATTAACACTCCGGTTGTCTCTCCCTCCCTTCCCTCCGCCTTTCTCCCATATGTTGTGATCAATGGAGAAAGAAGGTGAGCTGGTCGTTAGCAAGCATCATCCATCTTCAGCGACTCGCACGCCAATATGCTCTCTAGTTAATTAAGACAATTAAATGACTAATCAGACGCCTGATTATGACGATATCGGCCGCGATATCACGCGTACAAAAACAATCAAACACCAATCACCCTCTCTCCAGACCCAGTCACGCAATCTGCCGTATAATACACATCAACGCGCACACGACCTGCAGACGACAGCGTTCACCTTGCAGACGACACACACGGATGACCCGTGGCGGGAAAATACATAATCAAGCGTTAAAATCTTTTGCTCCTCCAAGGACCTGTCTTAATTGATTGGGCGTGTTTAGTTTTGGTCTTTTATTCAAGCCGGAAGAATGTTTATGCCACTTAATTTGAGGTGAGTTTTTTCAAGCCACTTTTTTCTAATAAAACCCAGCAGGACATTTTCGGAACGCTGTGCATTAAAAGCTCAAGGGGTCACTTACGGGAGCAAAATTCTCCATAAAACGAATAATGACTTTTGGTAGTTTTTCTCATTGTCAAATGTCAACTTTAACTTGTTAATTTAATCAAAGATCTCATTCAATACTTCGTTGACCCGACTGCGTTTAACACTTTTTGTCTATCATTGGCCACTCCTTGGCCACCTTGCGCCGTGAAATTTGAATATTTCCAGAATTTTGTGTCTAAGTCATCTAATGGTTATCAACATCAGAAATTACTTTATTTTGATATCAAAACGGTTTCACGACCTCTGAAATCTTAAATATCCTCATTTCAACTATAACTTTAAAATTTGTTTTTATCACGTACACAAAGCTTTGGATAGTTTCTTATATACATTTGAATGATCAGTCCAAGGTCCCTTATTGGATTTCTTTGTCTATTGCAGCAAGAGGGTAATAGAATAACAAAATAATTTTAAAAATCTATCAACTATTAAGACGTGCTCTTGTTGTAAATACTCACACGTAGAATTCACCGATGATTTTAAAGCAGTAGTAAATTTCATTATAATTCATTAATGAGTAGGCAATTGCTTTTTTCCTAAGGAACATCAAATAAACGGGAGCATTCTTTGATTAGTGATATTTTGTCAATGCCCACAACTAGTTGCAGTTAGCGTTATCAGGATTAAATTGAACCTCTCACCTGTTAGATAGCGCATGATAATCGTACAGATAGGTAAAAATTATGATGTTTTTCGCCGGCCAGTTATGCATATTAAACAGAATGGTCATGATATATGATATATAACATGCACTTCTTAGCGTTACGAGCGTTTCACACGGATCGGTTAAAAATTACCCACCAGAGGAATATGGACTCGGTGCAATGTTGATCTATTGTATCTCTTTTCTTCCTTTCCCTTTATTTATTATTTGTTTAAATGTTTGGTTTTGTTGTGGGGAAAAACAGATAACGGACAAGTATTACAAAGAAACGGAGCACTAACGCTTTCGACTAATTCAGCGTTTAAACTGGAATAAAATAAAAAAGAACGATATATTGCACCGATCATAATGGGTTATAACTTAAACATTGTCCGTATATCTAATCCAGAAAATAACTATAACTTATCTACATGATAGGTATTCACATCGCTAATACGGCATTGATATAATCCGAGGTGTTCCCACAGACAGCCATCGATAAAAAATACATACCACGTAACACGTGAGAGAGCAGGAGGCTGCTATCTTGTAGTCTAAATAACATAATTCTAACAGGTGCCACAGGTTACCGACGGAGTCTCGATCTTATGTATTTCATTTCAATGCACTTCACAGGTATATAGTGTTTTTTAGAATTACAATAATTAAATGATACAAACTTAAAGCAGTTTAAGTGTTTAAAAACAATTATCATAAAAAAACACTTTTAAAAGGTGAGTTTTTAGGGAGACTTTTAAATTGTAGTAGTTACTATCAACTATGATATAAAAAACTGTTTATTCCAAAATTTTGGGGCATAAACAGTAAAAAGTTCTGTCAACATAAAATTGATCACATTGTCTCTCTATTTCACAGTAGCTTAGTATAAATTTGTTGTAAAAAGAGAGTTTCTATTTTCCCTTTGTGGTTCCTACTGATGACTAAGATGTGCAAAGTAAATTGGTGTATTTTCTTTTTAAAATCTTTAAAATATACACAAGGCTTTGATTAAATTCTTTGTCGGGTTTGGAACCCATGTAACTCTTTTCAGACCGGAGTAATATGATTCAAACTTTGTTTTTATTTTTAACTGATATTTTTTATTCTGATAAGCCTGGCGTTAGTTATCATCATCAAAAGAGTTCAGGGCGGACCTCTGTGACCTTCCAACGGGCGTTTGTCACACTATTTCTAATACGAGATTATATTGTCTACTTACAGATGGCCGTTCATGTACGCCAACCCGGGGGTGAGCTGGCCCCGGGGGTACCTCACTACGGGGGTGGAGGGATCCCTTCCCCTGGCACCCAAACCTATCTACAGTGGGGGGATAACGCTGTCCAAGGACGCCGCCTCTGAAGCTGATGACCCACCAGTGTCCGACCACGAGGAAGCTCCGGACATCGGCAAGAAACTCAAAGTGGACACAGGCAATGGTAAAATAGGAAAGGGTGTCGAAGCCGGGAAAGATAAAGTAAAGAAAGAAAATTTGGAAGAAAGCTCGGGTGGTCGTTCAAACGAGGTTGGGAAGGACGCAGATGAAGACAAAGATGGCGTTGTTATAGCTACAAACCAGGAAAAGAGCGAGGACGCCGCAGCGAGCGCTGACGACAGCAAGGTTATCGAGAGACAGAGCAAGGCCGAAGATGGTGGTCTTGGAGTCCCTTTGATGAACTCCCTACCGTTCTTCTTGCAACAACCCTCGGCGTTCAGTCTGGCGCAGCTGCAGCAAGCCATGCGATCTGGGAACCGTGGAATGGAGTTCTTTCCGCCCTGGCCGCCGGCCGCCGCGCTCTTCTTCGGGGATTATCGCCGCCTGGGGCGTTCCCCCTACGGCAAGAAGTACTACAACTGCCCGCAGTGTCGGTATATGACGGACAGAAAAAACAACTTGAAGCGACACGTGTCCACCATGCACCAAGAGTGCGACAAGCTTCTCGATTGCTGTGGACTCATGTTTAAAAACAAGGCGTCGCTGCGTGATCACGTGCTGATCTTCCACAGGAACGGGTATATGTGCCGCTTTTGTGGGAGAAATTTCTGTCGAAAGGCCCTTCTTAAGCGTCACTTGACGGTCCACAGCGGGCAGAAGGATTACGTCTGCTCTATCTGTGACTATGCCACATCCCACAAGAGTAACTTGGAACGCCATCGCAAGGTGCACGAGCGGCAGCTCCACGAGGCCCCTGACGATTCGCTTCCAGTTCTCGCCTTCAATCCGACGGATACTTCCTGCATGGGAAGTCCGGTAACCAGTGACAGTCGAGAAAGCTTGCCGACACCTTTTTCTCTTCACACCACGTGAACGATGATGCAGCGCTTGTATGAGATATATGACCAGAGAAAAAAAGCGCCGCTTGATCGTTATCACTAAATATTACCACCATGAAAATTTGAAAAACAAAACCAAGATACAGTTGAGTTGGTAATCACTATTCACGTACGTTGTTAGAACCAAGAGTAAGTTTACATTGAAGTCAATTAAGTGGTAAATACTCTCAGTATATATAGACTTGAATACATTCCGTGTTAAAGGGCAGCATGTTCCATATCTTGAGGCGTTGAAGTCGGGTTTCTTTGTTATAGTAGTCAGTTTCCACGGGTTGTGATGTAAAACAGAAAGGACTGTTGGAAATAACGTATATGACGCGGCCTTGGGTCCACCAAGATATCGTTCAGTGGAGCCAGCCTATCTGTAAAGCCAGCGAATTTTGGTTTGTGGGAATACGTACTTTTTCTTTTGAAATCGCAGCCACGTGCGCCCAGAACTATTTACTTTCAAGCTCAGTTTTTCCTGTTTAAACTCTGTATGTGTTAGTCAAAGCATTTCGGAACACGTCGTTTTATGTGTGATATATAGCATGGAATTTCCGACTGGAACCGAGGATGACCGACTGGCATCTCCGCTGTGATTGGTTAATATGTAAATGTATATATGTAGTTTTAAAGGTAATATTTAAAATATACTTATCACTTTTACCTATGCAGAGCCGCTTTCCAATGATAAGTAAGCTATGAGATATTTTACGTGTTTTTTCAATATTTTGTTTAATGTGCACACCATTGGAAAATAAATGGTATGAAGCGATCCGCGTTTCCAGTCATTTGCTTTAAAAACGATATAATCTGTTTAATAAGTCACATTAGGTAGCAGCTTCCCCCACCCCACCCCCTTACGAGCCTCCTTCACAGTTACGCTGTGCTCACCGCGCGGTGAATTCCTATGCAGAGAGAACGCACAGCACTGTAATAATCTAGTGTGTACTATTGGAAGTTACAATTACAAACGTTTTAGAAACTAATATCCACATATGTTATTGTCCCGTGTGATTTGATTATTTTTTTAAATTTTGATTTACCATTTGTGCCATAAGTAGACGTGCTTTGTTTGATAAAATAAGATTCATGAGTAGCTGTTCAAAAAACGAAATTCGAGATAACGAAAGACGGACCTAGTTTTATTTTATTCAAAACGGAATGAAATACGACAAATTGATTCTTGCCGTACCATTTGATACCTTGCTCTAAATGAGTTGACAGAAGTGAAAAATATCGAAACACCTCTGTGGCAATTAATAATAAACGTGTAAAAAAATATAATCTTTATGTAGAACGAAAACATACTCATTTAACTAATATATTTTTCCTGAATTTTAAAATAGGCCTATACAATTTTATAAGCTAAATGTCCCTCTAATTACCCTCGCGCGTTAAACATTACGCATGGTATTTCGGTTGTTTCTATTCTGATTGACCGATTTCTAGTGACATACTACAAGAAAGGAGGAAAAGAAATCAAATAACCAAGTAATTTTTCTCGTCGCCTTGTGCTGCCATCAAAGCTTAATTAACCGCGTAAAAAGTGCCTTACAGGTAAGATTATTGAGACTTTAGCGCTGGTCGTGTAATCGACTCGGCACGATGAGTCCCCGCTGACTGCGCGAGGCACGCCCTATGTCACCAGGCGGCAGCTTGATTGAGTGATTGCGGAGAGTAATTCATTAAATTTGTAGCGTCCTCCTAACACGTGCAACGTATTCTCTCCACTTTGGCGTTAATTGCTGATTGCTGTTGAGTTTGATGACGAGATCGCATGACACGCACACACTTCAGAGAAACGGCGACAAGAGGCCACAGACGCGGGGGTAGCTGTCATCTTTTTACTGCTCTGGTGACACAGGACATTAAAGGCAATATGGAGGAGAAACGTTTCTCTCTGGGACAAAACAAGACATATTAATTTTGTTTCTCTTTCGCCAGCTGCAGCCTTCATCTCCACGCGAAGTTCGGAGATACCGTTATCATCACTGTCACAGAATGCCGACCTTCCCGCCCTCTTTTCCCCAATATATATATATATATATATATGCTCTAGAAGTCAAAATGGTCAGTCCATTTCCAAAATGGCCAGTGATTTCTCTTTCCGCAACGGGTAAAGGTTCGCTATAACGTCACTGCCTGTTAGTGGTGGCCTTACGTACAAGCCTTTGACACACCTCCTCCCCTCACCTCCGTGATACCATACAGCATTGCTCTGCTCGTGTACAACGTTTCCTGGTTCTCATCGCACGCGCGGCTCTCTCCTCGGCACCCTCAGCCAAGAATTGTAATCAAACTGAGTAACTTGTTAGGTGCTTGCTTTTATTGTGCGATCATGTCATTAAGACGCGATGGCCGCTAGGCAGGAGACGCTGAGCACGTCGCAGATTAATTGCCGTATACACAGTCCTTAATTAGCCGACTTGATGTGTTTATTTGTGTAATTTAATTCTGTTGATTTTACTGCAGGGAATTGAGCAATCTTCTGGTAGTGCCTCAATAGATCAACTGATCTATACACGTCTGGGGGGGGGGGAGCTAAAACTTTCAACTGGGAGTAGCATAATAGATCAACTGATCTATAGACAGTTATGGGGGAGATCTATAGACAGCCGGAGAGAGAGAGAGAGAGAGAATCTATAGAAAGGTATGGGGGGCAGGGGGGGCAGGAGAGGGGTTCACCTATATACAACTGCATACAACTATAGGAATGAGGAAAGTATCTATAGACAGCCAGCCCGACCCAGGGGTGGAAAGAAAATAACTGTAGCTACGGAATTCAACTAGTGATGTATCACGACATAGATCTTGGACATAATTCGTTATTATGTCCAAGCATAGATCAAGTGTTGTATTATATATATACAGACAAAGTGGTGGTGGTGGTGTGGGTGTCCATGGTTAATAAATAAATAAATAAATAAATAAATAAATAAATAAAGACAATAGTTGTAGAGTGTCAATACGCTCGTCTAACTCTCTATCTTCATTCTATCAACTGTAACTTGGGGCAATCTCTTAGACTATTTAGTAAAGTAGGACTACATTTTGGAAAATTCTACACTGCATTCAGAAATCGAGCTTCTCACTTTATATTCTGCTTGTAACTTGCCAATTCTTTGACAAGTGAGAATTAACT